GCAGGGCAGCAAGTGCCACAGGACAAAGTGTGGCAGCTGGGAGAGGAGTGTGATGAAACACTTCCCAGAGATGTAATTTAGGCCAGGGTAGTCATCAAGTGCTGAGGGCGAAAGGGGGAAATTGTAGTGCTCATGCTTTTCCTATCAATATCTCAGTCAGCAACACAGGACAGGAAGAAAAGAGAGGGCCAGTGCACAGACAACAGTCAGTGCTCAAGTTAATTGAAATGACAGTGGTAGGAAAGTGTCACATATTTTGAAATTGAAAGCAAAAATGTTCTACTGGCCATAATATTCTCTGGAAATATTTCTTAGCTATTTGGTTGAAAATATTGTAGTTGCTTCAAGCTGCACAGGTCTATGGGAAAACACGTTAGCTACTTAAACAGTGTCTGGAAGGAAATGCGAGCCACAAATCTCCAAGGGGAACTTGGGATTAGTTGCAGCAGAAACCGGAACAGTAAAATAATTCAGGTAAACTCTGGCAACCCTAGAATGTGAAGAAAACAAATCAAATGTAATTGCGACTGGGCCACTGGTACCCAGAGAGACCATCTTGCCTGTTTTTACCCAAGAAAAAGGGTTACTACAACCGTCCTTGTGATATCAGAATTCAAATGACTTTAGTACATTTAGGGGTAAAATGATATCACTGCCCTAATGTGTTATAACATTTTCCCTTGAAATAATCTAGGAAGGCTAAGAAGAGAACTAACCCTTACTGGACACCTACTATGTGCTCGACATGTGCAATTTCCTAATATCTTCATAAGCCTTTAGAGGAGGTGATATGGTCCCCATTTTACAGACTAGCAAAATGCGGTCCAAGGAAGTATTTCAGCCATGTCATATAGTAAATAAAAATCTGGAGCTCCACAGACAAAATTAAATAGCTCCTTACTTAATTAACACAGATTGCTCAACAAAGACAGCTGGCAGGAATCAGAGTATGGGGTTGTTATCTTGTGAATAAGAGGAAAGGGTTTTTTCTATATTGGAGTTAATGAAGATAAGTAAGGCATCTCCTAGAACACAACATATCTTTATCACCCATTTCTGGATGTATCTTAGGTTTCAGATGTATATCATACTGATAGCTGTAATTCTGGCTAAGCTGGAGGGTTTGGAAGACTTGGCATTTTTCTGGAAGTGTTATATAATAGAACTGAGCCCTGGGCTGGGACTTAGAAGCCTGGGTTCTGTTCCAGATGTGTCACTTATTAACTATGAGAGTGGGTAAGTTATACCACTTCTCTAGATGGCAGTTTTTTTTTCACCTACATGAGGTTGGATTAAGTATCCTTAAGAACTTTTCTGGATCCATGATTCAACCCTCTATGACTCAACTATTTAAGATATAAACTTCCATCAAAATATATTAGAAATGACCTGAAGTGTTAACAAATGTGTTGAGAAAAACCTCTCATGTGATTCAAATTACATTAAATTAAAAAAAAATCACATAAGAATAATTATTTACTCCCATACGCTACCATTGGCAAGAGTAACCTGGAATAAAATGATTTAAAGTTTTGTTTTTATTTCTAGGTGTTCTTTAAAAATAAATATATATTCAAGTTCTTAGATCTGAGTGCAAATCCAAGCTCTACCTCCTATTAGCTCTTTGACTTAACATATCTGAGTTCCATTTTTTGCTTCTGTAGATTGAAATTTACAGAACCTGAGTTGTAATGTAGTAAAGTGCCTGGCATCTAGTAGGAGTATAACTAGTACTGTTATTCCAGATCATCAGGGATTGGAACTATGGTTGGGTAACAATTCAAAGGAAATTTTCCAGTGAAATGAAACCTGAGATGGTAAACTCATTAGCACTGGGAACTTATCATGAACCATGTCTGTGCAATAAATTAACTCAGGTGCAGAATAGAAAAACATAATTGCTCCTTCTGGACCTTTTAGCATCTCTTTCTTTTTTTAAAAAAAAACAAAATGTTCTAATTCACCTCTTAGTGGATAAAACCTTCTCAAAGTATTTGAAGACCAGAGTGTTCTTGGACATTTGGAAAGAGTACTGTTATACCCACATTTCATTTCAGTGTCTTATTTGTCCATTGTCCAATTTCTGCCCTATGTGCACAGGAACAAAAGATTCTAGGAAGAGGAGGAGGTGATTCACTTTGTTTAGATCATAAAAAACCAAACAATTCTCATGCTGACATATAAATAACCAATCTACACACACCCCATCCACTTGAGTGCCTGTCTCTGGACCACCCCATCAAAGCTTTCCCTTCCCTCATCTCCTGCTCCACTACTCCCACACTACCACTTTCTATCCTTTTCTACATACACTACTTTTTGTGACTTATTTTTTCTTCTTTCTCCAAGTTTTGTTTTGGTGTTGGGAGGTTGGTCAAAGCTTGGATGGAGAAAAGAAGATGAACAGAAGAATCACATTCAAATCACCTGAATTCTTTGAACCAACCCCATTACATGAAGCCCAAGTGAGGCCTCCAAATAATGAAATTGAACTGCCTATTTTCTAAAAGGGAGAACAAAATGATTTTAAAAAATTATTCTGTTTTATACAAGAACATTTTCTGAACAAAAAAATAGTAAAATTTCAAATGTTTTCAGCCATGTTTTGAGATAAGTCAAGCACATTAACTAAAGCTTTCTGAAGTTAAGACAAAACAAAAACAAACAAAAAATGATTGCTAATTAAATTATCATTAGAGATATCGCACAAATTCTAGCCATCTCTTGCGGTACTAACACTATATGATTCAGAGCATAATTTTACTCTTGAAGTAATTATAGATTTGTAGTTGCTATGACCAAATGTCAGTTGATGCTGAGGTCTCAACCTGTAATGGGATCTTCCCAGTATAATAATGCTCTTATGATCTATTTTGTAATGATACACTATATAACAACTTTTATAGGACAAAGCTGTTATGGAACATCTTTAACCACACCTTAAATGCTTAAAAGGATATCTTAACTTATAAGCTTTTAGGGCTATTAGCTTGAGTTGGTAATATCAATACTTTAATAAAAGATGATATATTAAGGTTTTCTTTAGTAATTTGTTTCCATTTCTTTTATTACCCCTATCTAAAAGGATTAACAACTGTAACCAATGATTTTTCAAAAAGTAGGGAAGAGTGGGGAAGAGAAGACTATCAACCTAGGCAAAAACTAAAAATGTCTTACTTAATCTATAAATATTGGCTATTTTCAGGACTTTAGTTGGGATTTATCTATTATGTATCCAAATCCATTACATGGCATATTTCAGACAAACTGAAATTCCAAAAGGAATACAATACTTGCAAGCAACATGCCAAATTGCAATGCTTTCTCAAAGATGCTATGCAGATTCAAACACAAAAATCAGATTCAAGTCACCTGAATTTCTAAACCAATCCCATTCCATGAAGCCCAAGTGAGGCCTCCAAGTACAGTGGGGCCTTGACTTAAGAGTGTCCCGACTAACGAGTTTTTTGAGATACCAGCTGATTTTTTTTTTTTTTAATATATTTTATTGATTTTTTACAGAGAGGAAGGGAGAGAGATAGAGAGTTAGAAACATCGATGAGAGAGAAACATCGATCAGCTGCCTCCTGCACATCCCCCACTGGGGAAGTGCCTGCAACCCAGGTACATGCCCTTGACCGGAATCGAACCTGGGACCTTTCAGTCCGCAGGCCGACGCTCTATCCGCTGAGCCAAACCGGCTTTGGCCCAGCTGATTTTTTGCATTGAGTTGATAGAGTAATTTGAGTTAACAAGCTCCTTAAAGAGCTCAGTCTTGGAATGAATTAAACTCGTAAGTCAAGGCCCCACTGTAATGAGATGAAACTGCCTATTTTTTTTACAATGCTTTTGAAGCAGTATCACCTTTGAGTCTGAGATAGTGTAATTTAGTGTTTCTAGATGACTGCAAAATCTCTCCCTGTTCGGTTGAAATTTTACATTCTATCTTTTCCTAAACTTTCACCCACTTGTCATCTATCCATACAAAACATGTACTGGATATTTTCCCCCCAATGACAAAGTAATCCCACAGAGTGGAAAATGTTGAACTTGTCAATGTACCAATGACCCCCCATTTGGCCTTTTGGTATACATGTTCTTGATTCATTCCTAATTTTTTAAATACATGAATGTTTACAATCTTACTTGTTGGTAAGATCCTTAAGACCAGAGATCTCATGATAAAAACTTACTTAGATCTTTGACAGTCCCATGCCAGAAAGCAGACATGAATACCTATTATTCCACCGTTTTACTCTAGATTCTAGAAAATGGAATTGATTTATTTTGTAACAGCTGTATGATATGAGCTGTAATTACCAAGTTATATTGGGCAAGTCACTTAACTTTTCTTGGCCCCAGTTTCCCTATTGGAGAACAATTTTTTCAACTAGAGAATTAAGTGTTAGAGTAAGATAGAACTTTTTTTAATTTTTTAAAATCAATTCTATTTTTTTTCCATTGCCTAGAACTAGGAATTGAAATTATCTAACCTCTTAGTTTCCAATTCCTCACCTGTTGTTTGGGGATCAAGAGAGTAATTCCACATCACGGGGAGTTTTTTAGATGCAGAATGAGAACATAAATGCAAAGAATGCAGTATCTTACCTTAACTTTGGTTCATGTTAAAAAATGCCAACTATTATTTTATCAGGTTTCTTCCAGCTCTAGAGTGCTAAGATTAGAATAGAAGTAAAACCTTATTTATCAAGCACCTAGATCTTCATTATCCTCAGCTACTCAGGCACCACTTTTATCCCCCCCACCCCAAATAAAAAAAGTCTTATAAAGGACAAATTGATTCAAGGTCCATTTTATTCACAGAGTAAATAGAATAATTTTAATAATCATTGAAGTTATGTTAATAAATTATTCCATTAAAAAATGACAAAGACAAATTGTTGTAAGACAAATTGACTAAGAAACCTGTCCTCAAATGTACACTCAGAATTAGACACAAGATGTAATCTGTGGTCACGGGTTTGTACAAAGACACTAACCTGGCTTGCTGGATGTGAAGAACAAAACACTCTGCTTACAGCTGGACTTACCTACATAAAAGAGAGAAATACTGTATAAATCCTACTGCTTGCCAGGAGCACATGAAAAGCTACCAAAATTTTCAACATATGTTGTTTTCTCCCCCCGCCCCGCCCCCCAAATGGGCAGAATCTGCTTTACTTTTGCTAGGTGCCAGTGTTAAAGTAGCATTTCTTTGGGTCAAAGAAATGTTATCCTAAAATAGCTAGGATAACATTTTGTAGCATTTGTTAAAATATATTTCTGAACACTGGGTATGTTACAAAAAAAGCATTTGGCCACAAACCCAAGGATAGGAACAAGGAAAAGCTTACAGACATTTTACAATACAAAAGTCCTAAAGGCAGACATGCTATTCCTCAAAAATAACATTTTTAAGATAATATTATCATAAGAAAAGTTCTTTTTTTCTATTAAACTACATTTGAACAGTTAATAAGTTGTGTTATTGAGCCAATGACATTAAACTACCTGTGTTTCTATTTCCACCTCTTGATCACACACAGACTTTTGTACTTCAATTTACACTACATTCAAAATTCTGGACAATAACAACCAATGGGCAAGTTTAGAAGAATACTGGCTGTGATTTTAGTGCTTCCTAATTATTTTTCAGTCTTCTGCATTGGATTGGACTGGTTAAACCCTTTCCCACTAATGTCCAAATATGATCCAGGAATCTCAGAGGAAACCTTGTTTAATGTAATAATTTACTGCCCACTCCACCTGCAGAGCAATATGCAGACGTTATTTACACTGAAAAGAACTCTTGTTTATTTTCTAGCAACTAGAGACTCTCTTCAGCAACTACAAAGTTATTGGAAACTAAATATAATTCCAAATTTATAAAGAGTTTTTTGTAAACATAGTGTATGTTTGGAAAGCCTAGAGCTTGTCTGAGATCAAACAAAAACAGACTATTGGCTATTTATATCTGCTGTTAGTGAGAGAAGGTATACAAACTACTGATAACATCTTTGCAGTTTAGAGAGGATGCACAGTTCAGTGTAGAATATGCAACACAGCCTGGTTGGGGGTGGGAGAGCCCCAAACTAGAGAAACCTCAGGTTGAGCATCTGGCTGGGGTCCAACGGAACTGTGCGAACAGCCCAGGTTGGGTGAAGTTCAAAGTCAAGGCGAGTCTTGGTCTTCTGAGACCTGAAGGTCTGGGTGCCTTTGTGTATATATCAACCTTCATGCATTTCCCCCCAGTAAATGTGTACAGTCAGCTCGAAAGGCACAGCTTGTGGGCTGACGTGCAAAGCCAAGTCAAAACCCTGTGTTTGGCGCTCCCTTCTAACTTTCTGGCTTGTCCAAGTCTAAATATTGACATTGCTCCTCAGTTGAGATGTTTGATACTGCTGGGGGTAGACACGGCACAGCTAACAGTAGGATCTAATGATGTATTTTTACATCGCTGTGCCTTCCTCTCATTTCTTTCTTTGGAGAGGAGGTTGGGTTCCCTTGTCTGCACACTCCCCCCCCCCCCCCACCCCACCCCCATTGTTCTCCCCGAAAGCTGAGCACAGGGAGACAAGGTAAGAGGTTTTGAAAGCCCCTCATGGCAGCTCCACTGTTGTCACAGCAACTCACAACAGACTCCATCGACAGGGGGTTGGGGGGTGGGGAGTGCCAAACTGTGGGCTGACCCGTCAACTCTCATGGGGGTGCAAGCGCCAAAAGGGCAAGCATATCCCCCTCTCGGGACCTCTGGCTCCCCACCACTGTCCTTCCAAGGAAAAGAGCCCTCCTGTCGGCGCGGCACCACCCCCTCCCTGGCGCAGCCAGCCTTCTAAGGGTGCCTGTTGTTCATTTTCTCAGCTCCAAGTTAGGGGTGCGGCTGTGCGGGCGCTCCTAGAAATCTCTCGTTTGTGAGGGTTCCCGGCCTCGCGGAGAAACGAGGGCGGCTCCTCTGGCATCTCGGTCCCACAACTCTCTCTTGGGACGCGGCTTACCGCGTGGCGCGGCCCGGGGACCCCCGCACGCCACCCGCCGGGGCCGGGGGCGGTGGGGGCTGCGCGGCGGCTGCTCCGAGAAGTTTCGTACCTTAGCGCACTCACAACACAGAACCTACCCTGAAGCCGAGCGAGACGCGAGCTCTCTCCGCCTTCAAGGGCTGGGGGGAGCGGGGGGGGCCCCCCCGTCACTCAGCAGCAGCCACGACTGCGCGCGGTCGCGGGTGTGCGGGGCCCCTGCGCGCGGCGTGCAGCCCGCCGCCCAACTTTGCACAAAGGCAGCATGGCACTGCCTCGCCCGGCGGGCTCGCCTCCCGCCGCGGCCGCTCTTCCCAGTCCGGGGACAGAGGGGTTCGCCCCTTTCCACCCCCAGCCCTCCCCTTCTCCTCCGGCCCCCACCCCGCTCCCGGGCGGGCCAGCTCGGCGGATAGAGCTCCCGGCACCCAGCTCCGCCGCGGTGGCGGCAGCCGCGCTCACTGTGACGTTAGCAGCCTTCGCGGCTATTTATATCCACACGATTGGATTTCATTCATGAAACCAGGGCCTGGTGTGTCTGGGCGCTGGTGCGCGGGTGGCCAAGGGGCCTCAGCTTTACGCAGACTGGGCCCGGGCTGGGAGGCGGATTGCCCAGGACAAACATGCGCAGAGCATGGGAGACCCAGGCCCCTCTCCCGAGCCGTGGGGAGGGGCGGGTCGATGAGCTTTGTGCCCCGGTTCCCATCCCTAACATCCCACCCATTCCCGTGCAATTGCTGGCCCTTGGTCCCAGGCTCCGGAAAAGTAAGTTGGGCCACTAACCGGCTGGGCAGCATGGCTTTCTTTCCCCTAGCAGCTGACCGGCCGCGGACTCCGAGGGAGGACATTGGCTTTTGTTTCAAAACCGAGCCCAGCTGCTGACTAAGGGCGGCGTTAGCCCAGCCTCCTCCTCCCCTGGGCGGCTGCACGTGCTGTGCTGTCGGGCTTCCCCCTCTGGGTTCCTTCCTTGGTGACTTAGCTCTTGGGATCCCCGCAGGGGGCTTAAGGACTCACAGGCAGCCCCCAACCCGAGTAAGGGGGTGACTTACAACCATCAACAAATGGCTGAGCGAGGAAGTGAAATTGACTTCTGGCCGCTCATGGGTTATCAGAATCCTTGGAAACCCAAGAGAGTCCATCTCTCTTCTTCCAGGCTGACTGTGACCTCTGAGGACAGGACCAGGGGTGTTTTTTTTCAGGATTCACATAAGTATTTAGAATGTTTACAGTATGTCAGGTACTCTGTCAGGTTCTAAGGAGATGACAGTGAGCACGACCAAGCTGGCCTGGGCCCTCGGAGAGCGTTGAGAGGGCCTGCTAAAATTAGTGTGCCCAGACCTCCTTACTTCCAGCCTGGGCACAATGTTATTGATGTGCTCAGCTACCTTAAAGGGATTTATTCATTTAATAAACCTTTATTTAGAAGGATGTGTACACAGGGCTGGGTATGCAAAGATGGCAACGTGTCCTTGGTCCTCAAGGAGTTCTCCAGTAACATGTTCTGAGATATTGAGGGCTGGGGAAAAGGGAGCCATATTTTATTGCAAGGGCTCTGGCTTTTGCCATATCCCCTAAGAAACAGAACATTGGGAAAATTCCTAAAAGCAAACCTCTCAGTCCCTCAGTTTCTTCCAGGAAACCATTCTTAGTTTCCCAGATGGAGTACTTACTGTCCCTTCCCAGGTCCCCAGATGAGTTCTAGTCCATTGGGCATTCCTACTCTTCCCCACTGGTTTATATTTCCTGCAGAGACAAAGGCTTGCCCGGTGCTCTCTGAATGTCTCAGAGGCTCCAGGATATAGTGAAATTCAATGGTTTGTTTATTTGGGGCAAGGAAAGGTATTATAGGCAACCTGCTTTGTTTAGGCCATCCTCATTGAACTGTCTTCGAAATGGAGTTATCAGTCAGTCCCTAATCTTTTCAAACTATCCTCAAGGCTAAGAATTAGGGTAGAAACTCAAAAGAAATGGGAATCAGCATGTATTGCAGCCATCATATGTGGCAGGCAGTGGGCTCGAAGGTTGAAAACGTATTTGCTCAGTGAATCCTTACAACAACTGATGAAGATATAATTAATATCATAATCATTTTATAGATGATACAACTGAGGCATGCAGAAGTGAGTAGTTTTCTGAGTTTTTGACAGTTGTACTTGTACCTGGGTCAGCCTGTGCCAAGGCTTTATTTTATTACTAACCTGCTTTTTGGTATCCTTCCTTTCCTGTTTCTTTCATTTCCTCGATAATAAATTTTAAAAAATTAAGTGGCATGCTTAAGCAAGGTAGGTGCTAGGCCCAAAAAGACATCTATACAAAGACTCCAGTTGACAGACTACCATTCAGTTGTCGCTTGCCTTCCATACCCAGGGGACACTGAGGCTCAGAGAGGCCTTCTAAAGGATGCTGCTTCCATAGGGGTGAAGAACAGTCATCACAAAATTGCCCAGTTGATGCCTAAACCTGAGGGAAACTGACCAGAAGAACTTTCAGGAAAAAAATAATTGGTGAAACAGCAATTAAGATTGCAGGGAAAAGTCACTATTCTAGAAAGTCCTTCCATATTAAGGCAGTGATCTGAGAAAGAGGCTGCCATAATTATGCTAAGTAGCTCTCAAATTTTACAAATGACCCCCCCCCCCGCCCCAATTCTAGAAAAGTTGGAGAAACCAGTCTCTACTTTGCCAACAAGAAGTGAAAAGGAACAATAGTAAATTGAACTCCAGAATTTATCCCTGTTCTTGTTATTACCACAAAATAACCCACATCTGTATACTGAAATTGTTGTTTGCTAATAAAATCAATACTATTTGATTTTACCAAATATAAAAATGGGTATTTAAGCTTAATTAAACCAACACTGCATATTTAAATACTTCCAGGATTATACTGAGCAAAAATGGATGTAAAAGCTTTTTGACTAGCTTTTATGGTAAATAGTTATCAAAGTCATAGGATTAAAATATAATCCCCACAATGAATATAGAGAACTGTTCCATTATCACAAAAGCACTTCATCATGCTACCCCACCAGCCATTCATCTGTCCTCCATCTCTACAGTTTTGTCACGTTGAGACTGTTATATTAATGGGAGAATACAATATATAATGTTTTAAGATTGATTTTTTAAAAACAAGCACAATACCCTGAGGTTCAGTCAAGGCATTGCATATATCAGTAGCTCATTCCTTTTTATTGCTAAGTAAATTGGCATTATACCAGAGTATCTTCATCTATGTACCCATTAAAGGATGTTTGAGTAGTATCCAATATTTTGCTACTTTGAGTAATAGTTCTATAAACATTTGTATACAGGTATTTGTGTGAGCATAAGATTTTTATTTCTTCGGGATGAATGCCCAAGAATGTGATTGCTGGGTCATATGTTAAGCAACTGTTAAACTGTGTTTCAGAGTGGTTGTACCATTTTACATTCCCACCAGTAAGGTAGAAGAGGTTTAGTTTCTTCACATTCTCCCTGGCATTTGGTATTATTACTTAAACAAACAAAAAAATCAGTTGTTCAATAGTTTTGTAGGGACGACTTATTGTGGTTTTAATTTGCATTGCTCTAAAGGCTAATAATGTCGAACATCTTTCACATGCTTATTTGCCGTTCAAATCTCTTAGCTAAAACATCTGTTCGTGTCTTTGGCCTATTTTATAACTGGATTGTTTATTTTTTTACTATTGAGTTTTGAGAGTTTTTAAAAAAAGTATGTTCTCAGATCATAGGATTTTTTCAAATTACTACCTCAAGATAACTAAGTTCAATTCAATCACTATTGTTCAACATTTCTATTGCCATCAGTTTATAGAAAACATTCTCAGGGAGTTACGTAAAGCACACCCACGTACTCACTTACATAAGACTCCTGTAGAGAGGGTCTTTTCCGTATTATTTTATAAACCTGCATTTCAGTGGTTGGCAACCGACGCCCAAAGCCCAGCAACACGTGGTGGCGGCGCCAGAAGTCCCATTCTGGCTTCTGCGCATGCTCAGGCGCAGGTGCAGACACAGGCGCAGGCGCAGACAACCTTTCCAGCCGCCAAAGCGCTGCAACGCAGCACACGGAGCCCACACACGCCGGAGAGGAAGACCCCTGTGGTCGTCTTTTCGTCCTCGGATGCTGTCTGTGCCTATAAAGAGGATGCTCCCTTAGGTGGCGAGTTTCAGGTGTTCTAGAGACTCTTTCCTACTAGGGTTTGAAGACGGGGACGCTTGAAGCTCACTCTTGCGCCCATTTTTAAGACTCGATGTGTCTGGTTGCAAGATACTAAAAAACAGCGGTGCGCGAGGATTCCTGGCGTGAACCGGTGGCTTTCACGACAGCCGTGGCGGTCCTCTAAAGATGAAGTGGCTGGGGACATGGCCCACGTGCGGACTCACATGCTCGGGTCGTCTGCCTTTTCCAGAAACGCTTCTGCGCCACGGACCAGGGCAAGGCCTCTGGGCACTGGACGTGAGCAGCGCTGTAGCGCGGACTCCCTTGTACGAACCAGCTCGCGTGCCAGCTTCCCCAGCTCCCACCGCCGCGCCAGGGAGAGCATGCGCCCCAAAGGTTCCAGCTGATGATGGCAGGAAGGTAAGGCTGACCCTCCTCTGTGGCCCATCAATGCTAAGCGTTCAAGGTCAAACGGAGAATGACCCGAACCTCCCGGGGCCTCTACGAGATGCTTCTCGCAGCTGTCAGACTCCTCTGGGGCCTGGTGATGCGGGGCGTTCCATCTGGGGCCCCTTCCCTAGCTTTCATGTGGTTGATAATGGCAATAAGATGGGTTACCCGCCACCACACCACGAACCCTCTCCTTTCCAAATGCCACAGGCAGGCGTTGCATGCATCTGTGTTAATGGTCTTTCATTTGGCAAAGTGTGAAAACCCTTCAGCCCAAGGGGTTTGGGACGTGACTACTTGGGAATTTATCTCAGGTGCTATTACTCAAGCCAGCTCCGAGATCTCTGAAGCTTCTATTTTCTGTCCACTGTTCTAGGGTAATCTTTGTTATTCTTTTTTTTTTTTAATGTTTTTATTGATTTCAGAGAGGAAGCGAGAGGGAGAGAGAGATGATAGAAACATTAATTATGAGAGAGCATCATGGATCGGCTGCCTCCTGCACGACCCCTACTGGGGATATGGCCTTGACGGGCATCGAACCTGGGACCCTTCAGTCCGCAGGCCTATGCTCTTCTAGCCACGGAGCCAAACCGGCTAGGTCAATCTTTGTTATTCTTAACTGGGAATCAACTGAAAGAGATGTTCTTTACCTAAAATCTACAGGTGGAAATTTTAACTCCCAGTCTTGGGTTTTTAGTTCAGTTATCACTGTCAGTCTTGATGTAGTT